ACAAAAATCATAAATAATCGCAAATAATAAATAGATAAAGAAGAGAAAAATAAATTAAGTTAGATTAGGTGCTGGCAGGAGGGAAGGCCTTGACATAGAGCCATGTTTTTAGTTGAGTTTTGAATGTACCCAGCGTAGGGGCCGCGCGAATCTCAGGAGGGAGATTGTTCCAAAGGCGAGGAGCCACCGCCGAGAAGGCCCGGTTTCGTGTCTTCTCCCTCCGGGCCTCCCTCGGCGTCAGGCTCCTCAGCCTCACCTCCTGGGTCGCGCGGGTGGTTCGGGTAGAACTTGGTGGGTGAAGGCGTTCCGCCAAGTATCGAGGTCCCAAACCGTTTAGGGCCTTATAAGTGAGCATTAAAACTTTGAAGTCAATACGGAAACGAATGGGCAGCCAATGCAGTCTAGCCAGGATAGGAGAAATGTGGTGGAATTTTCTCCCTCCGGTAAGGAGTCTGGCTGCTGCATTCTGCACCATCTGGAGTTTCCGTATCAGCCTCAAAGGTAGCCCCACGTAGAGCGCGTTGCAGTGATCTAATCTTGAGATTACGAGCGCGTGTACTAATGTTGTTGTTGGACTGTAATTGCCATCATTCGCAGGGCTGGCTAAAGCAAATGGGAGTAGCAGCTGAATGACGAATATTTGGAGGTCCTTGAAGTGCCAGCCCTGTTGTAAAGAAAAGCATGGTAATTGATTGTAGAGTTAGAGTTATGCTATCATCACCATCATCTTCTACCCTAGTTGTTAGATATCAGATAGCCTACTTTTTTTGGGATGGGAACTAGAATACCTATGATCCAGCTCTTGTACAAAACAAGAGTGCATTCTAAAACTCTTTTAAGGCATAATTAATTTATATTAAAAGATCTTAAGTATGCAGTTAAACTTTCATAAAAAGTGCCATCATGGATCAGAAGAAGACCTGTCCAATTCAATCTGTTATACAGTATATAGGAATCTTAGGAACCTCTAGGTTGTAGGTGGTGCAAGAAAAATTAATCAACAACTAATACATGGACTGCAGTCTGACCTTCCCCCATCTGCTTTAAATTATGTGATGTTACGCCTTCTCTAATTTGTTGCTCTTAATTCTTTTATATATGAGCTACATAATGGGCTGAGGAATGATTTAGGATAAAGAAATTTGTTTATTTTCAAGGTTCGGCAAGAATTATTGGAAGAATATGAGCAAGTGAAGAGCATTGTCAACACTTTAGAGAGTTTTAAAATAGACAAACCTACAGATATTCCTGTGTCATATCAAGATGAACATTTTAGGGATCCAGCTGTCTGGCCGCCACCTGTTCCAGCTGAGCACAGGTAATAAGGCTTAAAACAAGATTATATATTCAAATACTGTAGTCTAATAGCCATTTGTCTTTCTTTTTTGTTGTGTGGCTGTGGCTTTGATATTGCTTATGTCTGGCTCAATTCAGGGATTGCATTAAACAGTGGTGGGCTGTATAAGCCATGGTTCAGAACCCAAACAATTATTTGAGCTTGCAGATGCACAAAACTGGTTTACATCTGTGTGACGTGTGCCATGACGTCACCTGCCTGTCTTGGCTAAGGCTGGAGTTTCCTGGCCTATGGCAGGGCAGGAGGTGGGTCTTAAAGGGGTGGAGTTTGTGTATATAAGGGGGGTGTGCAAAGAGGGAAAAGGTTGTTGTTGGGGAATTAGAGAGTTGGAGAGTGAGAGGGTTAGATATAGGTTAGGTAACTGAGTGTTAAGTAACCAAGAACTGTGCAGGGTTAAGGTCTGAGAAATATAGTGTGACAAGTGATTCATTTACTCAGTGATTTCCATTTTATTTCTGTATTCAATAAATCATTATTTTTATTTTTAAATCCATACTAAGTCTGAAGTGTCAGGTTTATGTGTGGTTGGTGGCAGCGAAGTAGTGTGTGTGTGTGTGAAGGATCATGACCTGTCATCTTTTGTGGTGACGTAGGAGGAGGTGGCAGTCGCGACAATCTGTTTTGAGCGCTTTTGTTTTTCATTTCTCACCAATGGTTTATTCTTGTTGTTTTGTGATGCATATGGCTCTGGAGGTAAAGCTGCAACTGTAATGCAAAGATATTCTGGCAAACTGTCACTTATGCCTATTGCAGGTTTGAAATCTGCTTCAAACCAAAATTTCTGATTCTGGTTTGCTGGCGTATCAAAAACTTATCAAAGTTTTCTTACTTTGGATATTACTCAAGCCATAGCTAAGGAATCTGAATTATAATTTGATGTGATCTCTGACGTTAGCCTTTGATTACTGATTTCCCTCTCGCGTCAGCTGTGGTTTTCTAGTTGTTCTACTATCTGTTTTTTAAAATCTACCATATACTCCTGTTTCAATGCTTTTCTCATATCCTCTGGTTTTCCTGTTACTTAGATATAATAAGCCAAGATATTTGTGTAGCTGATTTCTGAAAATTTGGATCTGTTCTATTGGGATTTTTTTTGCTGCATTCTGCACCATCTGGAGTTTCCGTATCAGCCTCAAAGGTAGCCCCACGTAGAGCGCGTTGCAGTGATCTAATCTTGAGATTACGAGCGCGTGTACTAATGTTGTTGTTGGACTGTAATTGCCATCATTCGCAGGGCTGGCTAAAGCAAATGGGAGTAGCAGCTGAATGACGAATATTTGGAGGTCCTTGAAGTGCCAGCCCTGTTGTAAAGAAAAGCATGGTAATTGATTGTAGAGTTAGAGTTATGCTATCATCACCATCATCTTCTACCCTAGTTGTTAGATATCAGATAGCCTACTTTTTTTGGGATGGGAACTAGAATACCTATGATCCAGCTCTTGTACAAAACAAGAGTGCATTCTAAAACTCTTTTAAGGCATAATTAATTTATATTAAAAGATCTTAAGTATGCAGTTAAACTTTCATAAAAAGTGCCATCATGGATCAGAAGAAGACCTGTCCAATTCAATCTGTTATACAGTATATAGGAATCTTAGGAACCTCTAGGTTGTAGGTGGTGCAAGAAAAATTAATCAACAACTAATACATGGACTGCAGTCTGACCTTCCCCCATCTGCTTTAAATTATGTGATGTTACGCCTTCTCTAATTTGTTGCTCTTAATTCTTTTATATATGAGCTACATAATGGGCTGAGGAATGATTTAGGATAAAGAAATTTGTTTATTTTCAAGGTTCGGCAAGAATTATTGGAAGAATATGAGCAAGTGAAGAGCATTGTCAACACTTTAGAGAGTTTTAAAATAGACAAACCTACAGATATTCCTGTGTCATATCAAGATGAACATTTTAGGGATCCAGCTGTCTGGCCGCCACCTGTTCCAGCTGAGCACAGGTAATAAGGCTTAAAACAAGATTATATATTCAAATACTGTAGTCTAATAGCCATTTGTCTTTCTTTTTTGTTGTGTGGCTGTGGCTTTGATATTGCTTATGTCTGGCTCAATTCAGGGATTGCATTAAACAGTGGTGGGCTGTATAAGCCATGGTTCAGAACCCAAACAATTATTTGAGCTTGCAGATGCACAAAACTGGTTTACATCTGTGTGACGTGTGCCATGACGTCACCTGCCTGTCTTGGCTAAGGCTGGAGTTTCCTGGCCTATGGCAGGGCAGGAGGTGGGTCTTAAAGGGGTGGAGTTTGTGTATATAAGGGGGGTGTGCAAAGAGGGAAAAGGTTGTTGTTGGGGAATTAGAGAGTTGGAGAGTGAGAGGGTTAGATATAGGTTAGGTAACTGAGTGTTAAGTAACCAAGAACTGTGCAGGGTTAAGGTCTGAGAAATATAGTGTGACAAGTGATTCATTTACTCAGTGATTTCCATTTTATTTCTGTATTCAATAAATCATTATTTTTATTTTTAAATCCATACTAAGTCTGAAGTGTCAGGTTTATGTGTGGTTGGTGGCAGCGAAGTAGTGTGTGTGTGTGTGAAGGATCATGACCTGTCATCTTTTGTGGTGACGTAGGAGGAGGTGGCAGTCGCGACAATCTGTTTTGAGCGCTTTTGTTTTTCATTTCTCACCAATGGTTTATTCTTGTTGTTTTGTGATGCATATGGCTCTGGAGGTAAAGCTGCAACTGTAATGCAAAGATATTCTGGCAAACTGTCACTTATGCCTATTGCAGGTTTGAAATCTGCTTCAAACCAAAATTTCTGATTCTGGTTTGCTGGCGTATCAAAAACTTATCAAAGTTTTCTTACTTTGGATATTACTCAAGCCATAGCTAAGGTATCTGAATTATAATTTGATGTGATCTCTGACGTTAGCCTTTGATTACTGATTTCCCTCTCGCGTCAGCTGTGGTTTTCTAGTTGTTCTACTATCTGTTTTTTAAAATCTACCATATACTCCTGTTTCAATGCTTTTCTCATATCCTCTGGTTTTCCTGTTACTTAGATATAATAAGCCAAGATATTTGTGTAGCTGATTTCTGAAAATTTGGATCTGTTCTATTGGGATTTTTTTTAAAAAAACTTCATATTACAGAATAAAATGAATAGTATCTGCCTAATATTGGAAGGGACTGCTATTGCAGGTTAGTATAGCAGGGAGTGGGCAATCTTTGAAATATTATAATGTTAATAAGGAATAACATTTTCCCATAGAAACCTACTCAGACTTAAGTATAATGAGAAAAATATTAATTTTGGTTCATAAAATTGTTTAACCATTTCCCCCAACCCACTGAAACTTAAATTAAATTAAATTTAAACTGGCTATTTAAATAACAAAGGCTTGAAAAGGCTGCTTAAATAATAAAGGAAGAGAAACCTAGGGAAGAAACATTCTTCTTTCAATAAGCATTGGCAACACTTATATCCAGTACTGTTTTAATAGAATTAAACAGCCAAATCTCAGAAAGAAATTGCAACACTGACTTTTTTTTAACTAAAAGAAATTCTGAAGATTTCTGGGTGGTGAAGAACAGAAGAGATTATGAAGCGCTCCAGAAGGACCTCTCCAGACTGGGAGAATGGGTGGCAAAATGACAAATGCATTTGAATATAAGAAAATGTAAAGTAATACACATTGGGGCAAAATTTAAAAACTTTATTTATCAGCTGATGGGTTCTGAGCTGTCCATTATGGATCAGGACAGAGATCTTGGTATGCTGGTGGATAGCTTGATGAAAGTATCAACCCAGTGTGGGGCGGCAGTAAACAAGGCTAATTCCATGCTAGGTATCATTAAAAAGGTGATTGTAAATAAAACAGCCAACATTACAATGCCATTGCACAAAATTCTGGTAAGGCCATACCTGGAGTATTGCATACAGTTCTGGTGCTGCACCTCAAAAAAGACATAGTGGAACTGGAAAAGGTGCAGAAGAGAGCAACTGAAATGATTATTAGGCTTTGTCACCTCCCTTATGAGGAAAGACTACAGTGTTTGCAGCTCTTTAGTCTAGAGAGTCCTGTATGGAGAATCAGTGCAGGGAAAGCGCCACAGAGGGAGACCACAGCTGTGATACAAGGATATCTGCAAGCGGGATCTGAAGGCCTTAGGAATGGACCTCAACAGATGGGAAACTTTGACATCTGAGTGTTCTGCCTGGAGGCAGGCAGGGTATCATGGCCTCTTCCAATTTGAAGAGACACTTGTTCAGCAGGCCGAGGCAAAGAGGCAGTCCCAAAACCAGCAAAATCAGGGAGGTGGACAGGGGTCAGATTGTATTTGTCTTCAGTGTGTAAGGGATTGTCACTCTTGTATTGGTCTTCTCAGCCACACTAGATGCTGCTCCAAGACCTCTGTTCAGAGCACGTTACCATAGTCTCTCGAGACTGAAGGATGCCTACACAGTCTAGAGAAAAGGTGCCTGAGGGGGACATGACATATAAAATTATGCAGGGGATGGATAAAGTGGATAGAAGGAAGCTCTTTCCCCTCTCACAGAATACGAGAACCAGGGGACATCCACTCAAATGGAGTGTTAGGAGAGTGAGAGCAGACAAAAGAAAATATTTCTTTTACCCAATGTGTTGTTAGTCTCTGGAACTCCTTGCCACTGGAAGTGGTGGTGGCATCTCGCCTAGATGCCTTTAAAAAGGGACTGCACAGATTTCTGGAGGAAACATCCATTGCAGATGGCAGATAAAGGGAAGTGGGATCAGGAGACAGGTATCTAGTTGGCTTGTGTGCTCCCAGAGGCATCTAGTGGGGCCACTGTGAGATACAGGAAGATGGTCTAGATGGGCCCTTGGCCTGATCCAGCAGGGCTCTTCTTAGATTACGTTCTTAAGTTCTAAGATCACTGGGGATCCCCAACAGCTTTTGAGAGGCCTATGTAACCCCTGGACTGTTCACCCCACTTCAGTCTACCACAGGGAACAGTTTGATTTTCAAGATTTTTAGACTATACTGTAATCCTTATGACAAATCTCTTACCACCAGCCTTGCAGCTTGGGTTGATGGGAATTCTGTCTTTCATCTGGAAGGCCAAAGATCTATCTTCCTTTAATCTCTTATTCAAATGTGGCCATTCACCCATGGGTTCCTCTCATATTAACCTGTGCATTCTGAATGCAGTATTTCCCCATTGAGTTAGATGTCAAGCAGGGCAGTATTCTGTTTTGTTTCTCAGATCCTACAAGTGTGTGTTGTCACTTGACAGAGCTCCACCTCAGATAAAACGACCAAATCGAGAAGTGAAACCTTTGAGGAGAGAATCACCTGGGCTGCAGCGCGGACCTGTGGGCAGAGCTCAACCAATATCAAAAAATGAAAAACCAGCCAGCAGCCGAGAGAGGGACTCCAAAGCAAAAGGAAAAGATGAAAAGGTAAAAAACCAAAATCCAATCTGCGTTAAGCATACTGAAGCCTGGTAATATCAGTGATCTTCAGCAATTAGGGCTAGGATACAGATGGAAGGAAGGTGTCATATGTGAAAAAAAAGAGCTCTTTTATTTTCATCTCTGCCATTTCTAAACTAATTCTTTTTAACGTTGCTTTGGTTTTGTTTATAAGTTTTTTGGACTTGACTTTTGTTTCACTTGTATAAAAATATGAATAGTGAACCCTTTAGTCTGATTTGTGCTATTATACCTAAACTATACATATACCACTCTACAGCCAGTAGAGGAAAACAATTTCAAAGCTGCCATTTTCATGTTAGCTCAGCTAATGCCTGAACCCCATCCCTGCAAGGAATCCTATAAAATTTCATTGTCCTCCTGGGGGGGGGGGATCAGAAGCTTGTGTTTGTTGTAGCTGGCATCCCAGTAAAGGATAGATTCCAGAATGAAAGCAGACAATCACAAACAATCAAATCAAAATGCATATGTCAAAGTATAGGTTTTTTTCATTGTTGCAATAATTTCAGGCAATATCAACTTGTCTAATTCTACAAGCTTTTTAAAAATCTACATTGCTTCTATGTTCCATATGCATTAAATTACTTCAGAAAATAATAAGTCAAAATATAATGAAGACAGCCTTATAGTTTTGAGAAAAACTGTAGGCACAAATATACTATATATACTCGAATATAAGCCTAGTTTTTCAGCACATTTTTTTTTGCTGAAAAAGCACCCCCTTGGCTTATGCTCGAGTCAGTGTCAAAAATTACATGTTCTCCCCTGAAGTGTGGGGGTTCTCCGGACTCCCCTGCTCATCTATGGACACCTGCAGCCTCTGTGGGTGGTCCGATGACCCGGGTTAAGTACACTGCATTTCCGCTTCCAGGACACTCCCATCCTCCTCCTCCTGCATATTCTGTGTACCCACCTTCCTCCTCCATCCTCTGTCTCCCTCAATCTTGTTACGAAGCAGTAGAGCAGTAGATAAGCGCAGCATCCGGTATGAGTCCTCCTTCTGTAGGCAGTGAAGTGTGTCTCGCAGCTCAGAAGGGCAGTGTCTTCAAAAACATTTAACTTACTGATGCCTCAATTAATGTAATTTTATTGGTATCTATTTTTATTTTTGAAATTTACCAGTAGCTGTCGCATTTTCCACCCTTGGCTTATACTCGAATCAATAAGTTTTCCCAGTTTTTTTGTGGTGAAATTGGGTGCCTCGGCTTATATTAGGGTTGGCTTATACTCAAGTATATAGGGTACTTCTCCCTTGAATTGCATGAGTCTGAACAGCATGATTTTGGTTCTACATGGATTTTTTAAATTGAATAAATATTCAGTAAATAAATATTCGAGAAATACTATGACCCTGAACACCCAGAACCCCATGGATTCAACAATGAATGCTTCAAAGTGGTCTACTTGCCTCCGGCACAACATCTGTAATTCAGCCTCTCGATCAGGGGCAATAAGGACCTTTAAGGCTCATTACACACAGTAGTGTATGGAAAAGATTGTCAACACTATGGAATAGAACCCCAATAGATTGTGTTTGTGTGTGTGTGTGTGTTTATATAAGAGAGGGAAACAATCAACTGTTTATGCTTTGTAGTGACGTTTCTGGGGACATAGGATTTGTACAAAGATTTTGAACTACATGGGGGTCTAGTGTTCCTAATCCCCATACTGTTGAAGGGGGAACTGTATTTGAAAATGCATCCTTACAACGTATGAAAAGTTACAGGTGTGCTTGCCATATAAAAGACCTTCAACTATGAGAAGCTGCAGACATTCAAATACAAAACTATTAGTTATATATAGAATAAAAATCATGTTTGAATCCAAAAATAAAAGAGCTTAATATCCTAAAAAGGCACATTAAAACAACAAAGAATATTTCTCCAAATCACATAATTTAAAAATATAAGGCATTATAACTTTAATTAACCTTACTTAAAAAGCATGGAAAAATGTTTAAGTTTTTAAAAAATAAATATATCTAAGAAAAAAAGCATTACTTAACCTCTAAGTATGTTAAGAATACAGGTCTAGGAAATTTTACAGTGAGGGGATGGGATGACATTGGTTCAAGAAAGATGGGATGACATTGGTTCAAGAAAGAGAAAAGCAAGCAGGAAAATTCAAAATCTTATAATCTTACAAAATAATATAAAATAATGTACAGTGGTGCCTCGCTAGACAGTTACCCCACATGACAGTTTTTTCGCTAGACATTGACTTTTTACAATCGCTATAGCGATTCCCAAAACAGTGATTCCTATGGGGAATTTTGCTGGACAGTGTTTGGTCCCTGCTTCGCAAACCGATTTTCACTAGAAGATGATTTTGACAGCTCCCTCCGCGCTCGCAAAACAGGTGTTTTTGGGACCTAAGCTTCGCAAGACAGCAATTTAAACAGCTGATCGGTGGTTCGCAAAGCAGCTTTCCTATGGCCGATCTTTGCTAGACAATGACGATTCTTCCCCATTGGAACACATTAAAAAGTTTTCAGTGCATTCCAATGGGGGAATGCTTTTCTCTAGACAATTATTTCACTAAACAGCGATTTCAGTGGAATGGATTATCATCGTTTAGTGAGGCACCACTGTACTATAGAGCAAGACAGCAGGATTGATAGTATAAACTAATGTTGGAACTGCTTTTGTACTGATAAACTGAGACTTATTAAGCTGAGTCCTCACTTTTATCTATATGATAAAAAATAATTAGATTCAGCCAAATCAATTCTGATTCTCAGGTTTTTCTAGATATAAAGATGTTTACTTGTCCTTCTGGTCATATTGCAGGACCATGCAAGTTATCCAGGGCTGAATAGGTAGGAGGGCACATGCTCTAGACCAGTGATGGCGAACCTATGACATGTGTGCCATAAGTGGCACGCAAAGCCCTTTCTTCTGGCATGCGATGAGTTAGTGGCCCTCTCACCTGCCCTTGTGGATAGAAACCTTTTGAAGTGGCTGCAGACAGGATTCCCCCTTTCTCTTCCTGTTCTGTGTCTGTTGCCATGATTCCTCCCCCTTTCTCTTCCTGTTCTGTGTCCATTGGCATGATTCCTCCCCCTTTCTCTTCCTGTTCTGCGTCCGTCGCCATGATTCCCCCTGCAACTGCCGGTTCCGGTTCCGGTGTTCTGGGTGGAGCAACAAGCACTGGTTTCTCTCCGCCCCCCACTCATTTTGGGCACGCGAGCCCAAAAAGGTTTGCTGTCACTGCTCTAGGCCATCCCTACCTTTAGGAGGCACAGAGGAGATTTGAAGTCATGATCTTAGGTGTACCAGCCTGCTGAGCTACATATAGACTTTGACTTTTATCTACAGGTTATGAGAAATAGCTTTGGAATTATGTGCATGGGATTGTTTTTTCGGACAAGTTTCAAGTCTTATTTTTCTTTATTGTTTGGCTGGTTGTTTTCCTCTTGTTACTTTTTTCCACTGGTGTTTTTTTTGACAGCGTGATTGGTATTTGAAGTATGGAGATCCATTTGCTAAATAGAGTATTTGCTAAATAGTTTAGAAACAAGAAGGAAATAATTTTGCACAACTAATTCCATTGCTATGTAGTAGTGGATAGTGTCAGAGTTTTAAAAGTACAGTAAGGCCTGAGTTCAAATCTATGTTGCTGTTATTCACAGAGGTCTTGATTAGAATGAGGAGAACATGGCCCAATGAAAATACTTCTTAAAAATACTTCTCTAAACACAGTGTTTGCTTTGTGCTTGGTGAGAAATAAGGGAGAGAGTGGAGGACCCATAGCCATATATACCCATTATCTTCCTGGACACCACATCATCCCACAATCACGCTTATGGCAAAAGTTTGACACCACTTTTGTTACAGATTCTCTTGAGGCTAAGCCTGTCTTGTGGGATCAGCCTGAGTTGTTGTGGCCTGATGACAAGGACTAGGTTCTCATAGTATTGCATCTATGTGCCCTCTTGATTCTTTTCCCTTGTGAATAATAAAAGGTAGCTGAAGCGTTGCAACTGATGAGTTCAGGGTGTGATTAACACTTATTTTATGCTTGTAAGTGCCTACTGCTTTGAAAGAGGTAGTGGTGCAGTTTCTGCTATACATCCTGTATTCTCTGATTTATAACAGTATTCTCATTAATACCCCCAACCCCTTTAAGGAAGATTGCAGAGAGGCAGGCACTCTTCAGTAAGACCAGTTACCCAACTCATTTCATTATTTGTTTAGCCCTGGCGTTCGAATGGAATCAAGCTTGGTCTCCCTGGTAGATGACCATTATTAGAAGGGATGGCTGGGTAAATGCTTAGATTGTTTTGGTCAATGTCTACTTATAGCACTGGCTTTAGCCACTGAAGCCTTGTAAAGCACAGATCAGCAGTCTGTGTGCTACATTTTCGATTGGCTGAAGTTTCCAAACACTCTTCAAATATACGTTTCACTAATCAAAGTGGGATTAGGCATAGGTTGTTATAGAAAAATGTAGTATCTCGAGGGACAGGGACTGGTGGTGCACTAGTTTTAGCCTTGTGCTATTGTGCAAAAGCTGAAACAAATTTGTGACTAGGATATTTAAGAGACCCTTGCTTCTAATGTTCTTGCCTGATCTTGTTAGTCTTTAATGGTGACCCTTGTAATGGTGCCAGTGTGTTCCTTTGATTGTTTGGTTGCCACACAGAAAAGGACCTATAGCATACATGTCTCTGCCCTTTGGAATACACTGCCCCAGGAACTCTGCCAATTACTGAGATCTTTAACTAAAAACTACTTCACTTCACTTAGTCTTTCCCAATATTACTGATCAGGTATACTGCTGGTAATTCTTTTAATTTGAATAGTTTGGTCAGTAGGTGGCAGAAAAGAAATGCTTATACTTAACATTTCAAACTAGAGAAAGGGTTTTGTGAACATTCAGGTTTTGGCAGCTACATGAACGTGATTATGGGTAGTTGACATTGTATTCACTCATTCCCTTGAGATGCTGTAGGGCACTGCCGATAAATGGGCTTGCAAGTAGGACCTGGAAGTCCGGAGAACAGTTTGAACCATCTTTCTTCTTCATTTTTTCCTCCTTTTTCCTTGTTTCCCTTTGATGTTTCAGCATCCTTTTGTTAACAGTTTCCTGATTTGAATGAGGTTGTAAGTATGGCCTTTTTTTGGTAAAAGAAAAAGTCGATGAGAAATGTATAAATACTGTAATTCTTTTATTTGTCCTTTTTTAAAAAAAAAATGCACTTAAAAAGATCCTGGAAAGCCATATGCTGCTTCCAGAAGGGATTGGGATGAAATATCACCATTAGTTCCTCACTTCTTACTCTCTAATTTTCCTAACTTGTTTGTCTTGCTTAACTACCCCTCCCAGGCTTTATCTAGTCTTTTTTTCCTTCACAGCTTCTCCCAGTAACTATGGATGCTTATTTTGTTTGATCAGAGTATATATAAAAAAACTACTTTCCAATTCTTCCTGGTAGGACTAAAACAAACCAGTGTTTGTGGTCATTTCTGGTCCTAATAGAACAATATAGTATTGCTGTTGCTGTGTGCACTTGAACATACTTGGTTACTAGGAAGAATGTGTAAGAAGATAGTAATCTAGGTTGAATTTTAAATAAAATGAAAAGATTCTTGTGTCCCATAGGATCAGCTGTAGTCAGAAGCTGTACATATCCAGCATATTGTAGGTATAGGAATACATCTAGTCAATAGGGTTTCTTAAGAAATGTCTTACAGTGTCCACAGAATATTTTATATTTGTTTCCTAACATTACTTTGGAAAGCTCAGAGTAGCTTATGCAAAGCTGTTGGTTCTCTCCTCCTATCTCATTATTTATGTGGTTTTTAAAATTCATGTTTCACAGAAAAACTGTTTCTAGTTTATCAAGAAGTTTTTGTTCCCTCGAGAGGTATTTGCTTAAGGTCTAAAACTCCTCCTCCCCCAAGCTCAACCAATTTTAATATAATATAGGAATGTACATTTACTATTAATATTGTAAGCACCAGGGGGCATCTCTTATGAAACTTTCTGGCCATGTAGCTTTGAAATTGTTGTAGAATACACATAGATTAAACATTAAAAGTATTTGCCTACTTCATCCTATATACCTCTTTTGAAAACAAATAGAAAGTAGCTCTAGGTGGTTCACAGCTTTGTCATCTCCTGAAAATTCTCCTCCTTTCTTCTCCCTTGAGAATAACATCTGCATAATATTCTTCAGTCTCTAGCACCATTGTAAATTTCAGAGCTTTTCACACTGCTTTTCTGTTTTCAGGCACCTTTAAGTATTTCCCTTTGAATATATGCTGTCAATTACCATAATTCATATTTTCATTTAAAACAAAGCATGTAGACAAGAGAAATTCTAAGAGCATAATTCCGTTGTGGTGTTTGTCAGTTTCTGACCCCAATTTCCCAATTTTCTCCAATTTTTTTGATGTAATCTTTTCCCCATATCTTCCTCCCTGATGTATTATTGCATAGACACTTCGTATACACATGCATTTCATACTTTCCTTATGCTTTTTTAGTCCTTTGAAATTATGTCTTGAACTATGTTGACAAAGAGGTCCAGATAACAGTTGAAGAGAAAGATAAAAGAAACAGCTATGGAACTGTTTTATATTTGACTTTATTTGTTTGCTCATTTTTTGGTTGGTTTCCTTCCAACACCTTGATCTAGGGAAAGAAGATCCCCCAGGATGGTGCTGGTGATGGTGAAATTCAGAAATTTGATGGAGCAGGATATGACAAAGATCTGGTTGAAGCTCTTGAAAGAGACATTGTGTCAAGGAATCTAAGTACTCATTGGTATAGTGCTTTCTTCTTAAAAGAGGAAATGTTATCTTCCATGGTGCATATTTTGTAATCCTTCACATTGAGGCAATTTGTTGCTTGTTACATGTCATTAAGTTGCTTCCATCTTATGATGACTCTATGAATTAATGACCTCAATGCTTCCTATGGTTAATAGCAGATCTTACAATTAAAGACCAATTCATACTTAATTCAGTCTGCCACCCACTAATGGTTCTATAGTCATAAAGAAAACTAATAATGAGAAAAACAAAAACAAAAAAAAGAAAATTCTGGCACCATAAAGATTTTGTGGACTAGAGTCTAAGTGCACTCTACTACAAACACATTTACCTTTCTGGAATTTACATTGAGAGTATATTTTCTTCACTATAGATAGCAACAACCATTTCCCATATATCGGCAATACTATGAGCACCATAGATACGATAAAAGCATATTCCTATCCAAAAAATACAAGTGACTTTGTATCAGTCTATGAGACTGTAGTTGCATGAAACTATGAAAATTTTTACATTTATGATACTGATGCAGATTGAAGATGGAGGCTTGCATTAAATCTGTTTTGTGAAAATATAATTTCACAAAATCCCATCCATGTGGCAGTGACTTCGTGTAGCAACTGTGAAAATTCCCCTTCTCTTGCATGTTTCCATTATGTGGAGGATCTGCAGCACTGATGTGAATGTTCCTCATTTAGTAGAGAAAATCCTCATGCAGAGTGGGTGCTGTATGTCAGTGGTCCCCAACCTTGGGCTTCCAGATGTTCTTGGACTTCAACTCCCAGAAATCCTGGCCAGCAGAGGTGGTGGTGAAAGCTTCTGGAAGTTGTAGTCCAAGAACATCTGGAGGCCCAAGGTTGGGGACCACCGCTGTATGTGACAGCCATCCACCATATGAAAGTATTTTCAAAAACTGTTATGTGATGATGTAAGAACTACCTTAGAATTATATTCGCGAAGGCTTTCACGGCCGGGATCTAATGGTTGTTGTGGGTTTTTCGGGCTCTTTGGCCATGTTCTGAAGGTTGTTCTTCCTGACGTTTCGCCAGTCTCTGTGGAAGAACAACCTTCAGAACACGGCCAAAGAGCCCGAAAAACCCACAACAACTACCTTAGAAGTCATGAAATGACATGGATATAGTTCTTTCTTATTTTGAGGTTACTTTGGAGGCTAGGAAGACATGTTTGTATAGCCCAGTAGTGCCCAATCTTGGGTCCCCAGATAATCTTGGATTACAAGTCCCAGAAATCCTGGGCAGCACAGCTAGTGGTGAAGGCTTCTGGGAGTTTTAGTCCAAGAACATTTGGAGACCCATGGTTGGAAAACACTGGTATCTGATCTGGATTCAAACAACTATCTAATCCATTTTAAGAGGCAAGAACCTGAAAAGCCCTTGTTAAGTGTGCTATATCAGGGGTTCCCCAATCCCTTGTCCATGGTCCGGTAGCAGGCCATGGCAGGACTGGGCCACGGAGACAGATCTCCACTCCTTTGCACGCACACCCACCCACAGATGCCCCTCCACATACACACATGGATGCCCGCACGCCCCGCCCACGCATGCATGAACACATGCAGCCCCCCCGCCCACATACTAAACTGGTCCACAGTGTGAAAAGGGTTGGGGACCATTGTGCTATATCATGAGAGAAGAAAAAGTTTAAAAAAGGCTCTGTAGTCATTAATAGAAATGCAAGAACAGGTGATGCCTTTATTAAACCCATAAAAATTGAGCAGTTATCTTTTGATAGTATTCCATGTTCCTCAGGCTGTGCACCAAGATTTTATTGTTCAGAAAAGACAAAAGATATGATTGTATTAGGTCTGCTTCTTAAGGTGATTTCAAATGTTGGCTGCAAACAACCTTTGGAGAGAGTGGTTTCAAACTGCATCCCAGGTAGCATTTGGCTGGAATTTTCCAGCCAGCATGTTAACTCATCTTAAGAAGTAGAACTGGCACAATCATCTGCCATGAATTTTTGGAACTCTTACATATATTTTATGTGACCTTCCACAAAATTGTGGTGCACAGCTTAAAGATGGATTACATCAAATGTTAGGTGTTCAGATTTTTTTAATGATCTAATAAAAGATTTTTTAATGATCTAACAAAGTATCACCTCCTTTTACATTTATGCTGAGTAATGGATTGTACCGAGAAAAAATTTTGTGCCCTATAGGTCCATTTAGGATCGTACCTGCTAAATTTTGATCACATAGTAAGGGTAGATAGAAGGGAGATCAGCATCTTCTGGTAGGTATCGGGATGATTTGCAGCAGATAAGCAAAGATATGTGACTCCAAATTATTTTTTAAACTTAGCACCCCCCACTCCTATTATATTGTTTAAAATAGAAAGGTTTAGGATAATGAATGGCGGATTTTTGTGTAGAAGCATTATGAGCCCCATTTAGTTGATCAGAACAAATTCCTTGGTGCAAAACTCTTTAATTCTAAATCTTTACAAGGCTGTTGTTGCTGATAATCAAAAGTGATTGCCCAAGCCTGATATCTGCCCATTCTTGCTTTAGGGTATTTTAGTTGTCCAGGGGTTCAGTATTAAAGTAAGCAGCATTGCATGAGGAGACTTTAAAGTGCCTTGATGTTATATTCAGGAAATATATTCTTCACTTGAACACCTTTGTGATGGGATGAATTGAAAATCATATTCCTCCATGTCTTGCATATGGTAGATAATTTTTCAGAATATTGGTTTATTAATATATGTGTACTTCATGAAACCATGCTATCACTTATATTACATAAGTAAAATGAAATATTTTATCTTTTTTAAAAAGCAGGATTTTTAACGGCCTAAATCTTATTTGCTGTTACACAGGGATGATATAGCAGATTTGGAAGAAGCCAAAAAGTTATTAAGAGAAGCAGTTGTTCTTCCAATGTGGATGCCGGATTTTTTCAAAGGGATCAGGCGACCTTGGAAGGTGAGAAGTTCCTATTCTAGCCCCTATTCATTTATGTGCTGTTAACAGACATAAATGTGTATATATGCCTTGCACAGCAGTGTGCAGTTAGATGTCTCATTATGTAACAAACTCTGGCCAAATGCAGAGATGAATCTTAAATTTGATCGACAGTAATAAAAAGGTCCTGTTCAGTTGGTAGGTCTGCTCTCTTGGGACTAACAACTGGATTTGGCTATACAAGGCATTGTTATTGTTATGTGCCGTCAAATCGCCTCTGACTCATGGTGATTCTATGAATAGCTATCTCAAAAATGCCTTGTCCTCAACTGCCCTACTCAGCTCTTGTCGGCATTCTTTCCAGAGAAATCTTTCTTTGTTGCCATTTCTCCAGCAAAGTCTCCTCTTGTGGAGCTGCTGCAGATCGTGAATGCTTGGCAAACTCTTGTTTACCATGTTTCAAAAGATAAAGTACCATTAAGCTTTTTTGGATTCATTTTCAACCATCTTTGTAGACAACATTGCTCACATTCAGTGTTATTTGGGAACCACAAATTTCCCAACACAGTTTAGTTGCCAGGATTGTTTTGAGGTTGAGTTTTGTTTTACTTTTAACTTGGACCAGATTCAGTCTCTAATTCCTGCAGAAATGAAGGATATCGTTGGTGTTATAAAGGCAGCCATCCTATCATTGGATCGGTGTTCTTGTTGGTAGGCAAAGGGCAGTTAGGAGGAGTTGGACCATTTGTTATAACCATTATTGGTGATTCATTCAAGAGATGGTAGGCTGCCAGAGAGCAGTAAATCTATGATCACTAGTCCCTGCTTAGAAGACCTACTTTGTGTATAGATTCCAAGTGCAGCTGTTCTCTCTTATCTAAACTAATATTTGTAGGGAAATTTTATCAAATATGTGAGAGTAGGACCTGAGAGCTTTTCAGAAAGATCAGAAGAATATAGAATAATGTTTTCCTATAGACCTCTGATTGTGTTTCAAGTTAAGTTGGTTATAGTTTTTTAATTATGAGGGCAACGAAAGTAAACAGATTTTGGTGTCAGGCACTTGTCATAATAAGACACAAGGCCAGCCAGCTGCATTCTCGTATGCTCAGGGCCCTCCTTCTCAAGGCAGTTGCTTTTTATTTCCAAAGTAGGCATTCACAATGAAAGATGGCTTTTCTCTCAGGTAAATCCAGGCATTTGTAGATAGATACTTGTAGACATCAGAGAGTTGCCCTTTTAGCTTCTTTTTTGAAGTGTTCTTCGAGCCAAGAAGCACTCTAGTGCTTCTCACTCTTCAACTAGCTTTGGTGCAGCATCCAGAAATAACCATTTTATAGTTACATCAAAAAACACCTACCTCCCCCACCACATGTTTGAGGATCTGAGTGGAAAATTCCTAAACTTGACAGAGCCAGAGGGAAAGTAGAAGTTTTGTGTGAAGCAATATAATTAGCCATCAATTATGAGACTCCACTTTCTTGTAGTGGCTTAGAATTCACATAGAGAGGAAATAGCCAGGTTTTGTACACAGTTACTAACTCAGTTCTGGAAAATTGTCCAGTGTAAATGGAATATCATACAGATGAAGACATGGGTTCTTCTGTAGGTGTGATTTATAAATGTCAAGAGATGTGAGGCATTAGAGTTCCATGATTAGATGTCTCAGTGTTTTTATTTTAATTAGGTGTAGGGTGTCCTCCTCAGAAAAGCGTGCTTAACACCAACACTGGTGCTAGACAAATTCATTTCTGTTTTACCAGGCTTCATTATTATTTTTGTTTACTGGTACTGTACTGTTATTTGGTTATATTTCATAATTGTTTTAATTTCAGGATTTATTTTGTCCTGTGTTAATATTGTTAAAGAGAGACATAAAATGTGAAAAATAAATACATGACTTTGTGGTCCAAAACAGTGGTTCTTAACCTTTGTTACTTGGATGTTTTTGAACTGCAACTCCCAGAAACCCCAGTCAGGACAGCTGGTGGTGAAGGCTTCTGGAAGTTGCAGTCCAAAACTCCTGAGTAAACCAAGGTTAAGAACCAGTGGCCTAGACCACTGGTTCTTAACCTTGGTTTACTCAGGAGTTTTGGACTGCAACTTCCAGAAGCCTTCACCACCAGCTGTCCTGACTGGGGTTTCTGGGAGTCACACTTCATCACTGTAGCCAAATATATCTTGCAGGAATCAACACTATTTATTTCCTGTGACCTTTACCTTCAATTATAGGAGAACTTAAGCAAGCTAAGAATTGTAATTTGTATAGAAAGAATATGCGCACTTGTGGTTTAATTACCTGTAAATGCACACTGAAGTCTGCATTAGGAAAGTGACTAAATAGTTATAGAGGTAGTAAGAGTTAATGGAAAAATTTAGACACAGTGAGTCCATTATGGCTATAGAATTTGAATAGAAAACAATTTTTGAATAATTGCATTTTCAGTTGATTTGTTTTTATAAATGTTTACCTTGTCTGTCTTCCAAAGCATTTTTTTCTGTAAAGAAAAGACAAGGTCTAATTTGCATTGTGTTTAGTTTTAAAGTGGTTCATTTATTGTAACTGTAGAAAGTCTGCTGTGATGTGCAGCAATAATTTGATTACCCTAAAAATAAAGAAGTTTCTTTAGAAAGCTGTTGTTAGTGAATAATCCAATCTTATTGGGGTGCAAGAGGAGGAAGATAGACCATAACAGCAGAATGCATGATGAGCAAGTATTACGAAAAGCAAGTCCTTAAAATAATTGGTGTGTTTCTTTGAGGTAATGTAATGCTGTACAGTAAAACACCAGTTTTTACTGCAGATGGTCCTACTCTGCTTCATGCAGTATGTGTGGTTCTGGTAAATATTTGAGTGTCTGTTGTGAGGTATTTAATGGTGTGAATTGGAGACAGATTAAAAATATATGAGAATGAGATTCTGTTTCCTCCTAGCCTCACTTGCCTTCCATCATTTTAAATACCTGTTACAGAAAAGATAAATGCTATGTTAGCATACAAAGGTGGCACCATTAGTTTCCAGATTGAAACGTTCAGAATTACAAGGCAGACTTAAGTATGGTAGTTTGGTTCTGAGCTCACTGTCTCAGAATTAAAAATGGGGGAAAGGAGAATAAGCTATGGAGGATATTTGTGGAGTTGTTTTCAGAAACATTATGTTTTCATTTTAAAAATAGTGTTTAAATTTTGGGTGCCCCAATTCCTTAACTTCAGAGGGTAAATAAGTTATATTGGCTTCTAAATAAAATAGAATTTTAAAATCCTGGGTTAATTTCAGTTGCTCTTTTCATTATTGGCCCACATATGTTGCAAGTAGGTATGTGCCTGAATGAAGGCTACTATGAATCTTAAAAGTTTGTTATCCTGCCAGAGGAGATTATCTCTTCCAGCTCTCCAGTTGCCCTTGACCAGGATTGTCACGTAAATATTTCAAAGTATTTTTTATGCTTTATAACGTATTAGAAATATTCTTTTTCACCTTTCTTCTATAATACAAACTGATTGTTGTGGCCATTAGGTGTACAATATCTGTACAAAGGGTATATGAAAATGTTGCATGGACACTTTGTTTTGTACGTATATAGAATTCATAGAAGATATTCTGTATTTTCCCACATTTGCCAATAGCTGAAAACTGTGCATAGCATTAGTGTATCCGAAGTACTGGTTAGAGATAAGGAATGAGAAAATGCAAAATATTCAAGCAACCAAATCATGCAACATGGTTGTTTGTGGAAGTTCCAGTTTCTAGAGCAGTAAATATTTGGGATTGCAGAGAGTGAACCGAAATCTACATTGCTTCTGGAAAATCTGCCATGTAACAGTCATCTCTTTATTTTCATGAGAGACATTTCTTCATGAAGTAGCAGATTAACTTGTGGGGATCATTAAAACTTGTTGCGGTAGTACACAGACTGAGTATCGCCACAATGTGGTATATGTACTTTCACCTTGCCTCTTTGTATTTAGTTGTTTGCCTTTGATTTTAGGGAGTGTTGATGGTTGGTCCACCTGGGACTGGCAAAACTATGCTGGCAAAGGCTGTTGCTACAGAATGTGGAACAACCTTCTTCAATGTATCTTCCTCCACTCTGACATCAAAGTATCGAGGCGAATCTGAAAAGTTAGTCCGCTTGTTATTTGAGATGGTATGTGTTATTGATGCTCAAGTACTTGAGATACTTAACAAACATCCGTGACCTTCCAACATGTTGTCTCAGATGTAATCTAACCATTAGATCAAATTGTCAGGATTGTTTGTGAAATGTGTCAAATTCTAGAAGTATTGTACTCTGAATCTAGTTAGTCTCAACTAGAGTACACTCACTGAATAAGTGAGAACATAGTTATGGGAGTTCCATTGGTTCAAGAGTTCTTCTCTATTTTGGACTAACAGTTGGATTTAGGCCTTTTTAGTTACTGCAGAGAGGCTTCTCAGCACCAAATTCATCGGTGCCTTGGGTCAGAAACCTAGGGCTTAATGTAGCAGATTGCACAAGTGGCACCCAAATGTAGCAGAGCTGACTTGCCATAATTTTAAGCTTGAGAAGTAATACTTATTATACTTAAAAAGACCCTCCCCTCCATAAGACCATTAAGTGCAGAATAAACCCCCCCCCAGATTGCACCAACAAACACCATTTCTCTCTACAGTGGCTGTAATAAACACAGCTTTTCTGAAACAATATTAACTGTGCTCAAAATAACAGATCCCTGGGCAAAACTAATTTAGCTTCTGCTGCTTTCTTTGATTTTTTGCTCTTCTTTGAACATCTTTCTTCACCTTTCAGCCTGCTATTTTTTTGTTTCTTCCAAATACAGTATTTTCATGTCTCACTTTGCAAGTTCCTCCTTTATTTTATGCAGCAGTTGTAATTTGTAGAATTTCATGTTAAACTCCATGAGGCCAGGCTAACTTTAGTTCCAATTTTATGCAGTGAAACTCTTTCGAAAGAGAAAGAAATACATATGAGGTCTGATAACACAAGCAGATTGTTTGTCTCTCTTTCTCTCTCCAGCCCTAGAGAGAATGGGAGGGCAGCACTCCTGTTTTTCTGTTTCTCATAATAGTAGAACTGATATATAATACATCTTATTGATACAGAGTCTGCAACATTTTAAAGAAATTTCTTAACATATATAACTTGATTTACATATAACACAATTGATAAAGCTCTATAAAATAAAAAAATGACTTGTATAAAGTAAACATCTTAAAAATAAAAAATGCTGGATGTTTTCTATATACTACTCGTAGTACTACTTTCATATGGAGTACATACATACATCATTTACTAGTTGACCAGTACTGCAGTGGTGTTGCCTACTGCATGTTGTACTCCGATGATTTTTCTTTTGGTTCAGAGTGCATCCTATGTTAGTTATTATAAAGTGTGCTGCTTATATACCGCCCCATAGTGCTTCAAGCACTCTCTGGGTGGTTTGCAAGTTAATTATGCAGGCTACACATTGCCCCCCCCAGCGAGCTGGGTACTCATTTTACTGACCTCGGAAGGATAGAAGGCTAAGTCAACCTTGAGCCGGCTATCTGGGATTGAACCCCAGGTGCTGAGCACAGTTTTGGCTGCAGTACAGCGATTTAACCACTGCACTACTATCATTGTGCTCTAATTTAGTCAGCAATGACAGGAATTCTATAACATATTATTCAAAATGGGGTTGACATTGTAGTTGGTATGTAGATGGTGCTCTTAGGTTTCGTTACCACCACATTATCTTTGTCAAACCTAATTGTCAGTGTTGTGGCGCAGTTTCATTTATGCTTCTGTTAAGTAAGTTCCTGCTCTTTTTGTTTCAAGGCCAGATTTTATGCACCTACCACAATATTTATTGATGAAATAGACTCTATTTGTAGCCGCAGAGGCACTTCTGACGAACATGAGGCAAGCCGACGAGTCAAGTCTGAACTTCTTGTTCAAATGGATGGTAACTAGTGTTTGGTATCTACATTTCGTTTTTTTGTTTTTTAAAATATTTGTGCTCTAGCAGTGGAGAAGCAGTGGAGGCAAATAAAAAGTATCATTAAAAAACCTGTCCTCAGATGTTTGCATTTTAATTAATTATATTTTTTTTGAAGCAAGTTTTAAATGTTCTAGGCGTGGTTAGAGACCATCCGTGCAACTGAAACTAAGTATGACTGTGGTCAATTACTGTCTGGGAGTATAGCCTGGAAACCTTATGTAAGGATTTTTGGGTTCAGTCATAGAAAAGAGCAGTAATACAAATGTAATGAAAATAATAACAAATTCATAGAAACATTTTAAAAAAACACACGAATAGCCTGGAAGGTTCACTTAAAAGTTACTGTATGTTCCTTTTTTCTTAAGAGAAGACTTAAAATACATTTTGCTCAGTTAAACACCAAACGTTTTTCTTTCTATGTAAGATTTATACACAGACCTTCATTCTGGCAGGAATGTTCATGAGAACAAGATCAGCCCTAAAATTTAGAATAAAATATTATAGACTACAATGGAAATAATGTATAGAACTTGATGTTTTTTGTTTGGTCATTTTAGTAATGAAGAGGACAGTGCAGCTGATTTGAATCTTGCAGAAGACGTATTAAAATGGGAGAGGATTAAATTTTTTTTCTTCCTTTGTCTACCCATAACCTACCAGTAGCCAGCAAAAGAAACCTCCATAACTCTAAAGCAGGGGGATCTCCACCTTGCAGGGAAGGTTAAGGAGAAGCAAAATTGGTTGCTTTCCATTGGCATTTCTTGGAAGTACTGTCTGACAATGTTTTGCTCTCTGCCCTCTTCACTACATTGAGAAGAAGAATGAAGAGCAAAACCATCTGAATCATCTAGTGCAAAATAAATAAATAAATAAATAAATAAATAAATAAATAAATAAATAAATAAATAAATAAAATCCAGCTAGCACTTTCACTGTAACTTATTTAATGTTTCTGAAAAAACAATAGACATTCTCATTGTAGATCTCTACTATCAGGTCTCCTGTATGAGTGATATGGTAAGAAATGTTAAAGCTCTTTGCTTATGTTTGAAACTAGCCTCAATGTTTACTGAAACCTCAACTTGTAATTTGTGCTTGGATATCCTGTGGTAATTCACTTGCAGCACTTTCACTGTAACTTATTTAATGTTTCTGAAAAAACAATAGACATTCTCATTGTAGATCTCTACTATCAGGTCTCCTGTATGAGTGATATGGTAAGAAATGTTAAAGCTCTTTGCTTATGTTTGAAACTAGCCTCAATGTTTACTGAAACCTCAACTTGTAATTTGTGCTTGGATATCCTGTGGTAATTCACTTGCCATCTGACAACATTGCTTCTAAAATTTTGTGTCTTTCTATTGACTTGATGTCTAGGTAAAGACTCTCTGTGCCTCTTTCTCTGCCAGCTCCTGCTCCCCTGTTCCAAGTAGATAAAGCTTTTACAAAAACTGCAAAAATGACACTGGAATTAGAGACAGATAAATCAGTCTGTTTTCTAGTCCTTGTCACTTTTTTTTCATATGTTGACTAATTAGTCCTTTTTGTCAGATTTCTGCATTAATCTACAAATAGGTTGAAAAACACAGCAGAATGTTTATACTTAATGGATGTTTAAGCATATTTTTATTGGCATATGTACAGTATTTCTAAAATCTGTGTTATCCTAAAAAAATCTGGAATCCTGTCAGTGTTCATGTAAGTTTTGTGTACTTTGCTATGGCTAATTGTGGCTACACAACAAGGTGGCTGAGCATGTCTTGGTTGTACATTTAGGTTTGTGAGCAGGCATGTGACTGAGATGTGCCACTACAATTAGCTGTGGCAAGTAACACCAGTAGGATTCTGGCCAATGGACCATTAAATCTTTTGAGCTTAGAACTGGATTTCAAAATTCAGAAATATCTGCTATTGAGAAGATTACTTCTTTCTGATCTGCTCATTAGTCTGGAGGTGTGGAACAGATAACTTTGCATCGGGCTCAGCAAGGATTGAATTACACAGGCACCCCAATGCAAACTACAGGTTTTGATACATGCAGGCTGTAAGTTTGGCAGTAACAGTCAGCTAGGGCTCCCATCTTCACTATCAATGCCAAACTAACAATTCACTATTGCACTTGCATTGGTAGACGTGTGCATATGAATTCTTTTCTTGTTCTCTAACTACCCTGAAAAGTGGCAAAATGTTGCTTTGCTCTGGGAGATAATGAGTGATACCAGTATTAAAGATTGCATGATTGAATATTTTGTCTCTTTCCTAGATATTTTGCAAATGAGTAGCTTGTGTCCCTTATCTTTCTCTTTTTGTCTTTCTTCTTGATCCCTCTTTTCCCAGAAATTTAGACATTGTAGAAGGGCAGAATTATTACTGTATTTCCTTTTGTTCTTAGAAAGGGGGGGCGCGTACATCTTATTAATTGCATGTCAAGTGTACAACTAAAAGTGAAAAAAATGGATATATCAAAAAGTATCCTTTGTTTGTACAGGGGTAGGTGGAGCACTTGAGAATGATGATCCTTCAAGGATGGTGATGGTGCTTGCTGCTACCAATTTTCCGTGGGACATTGATGAAGCATTGAGAAGGAGGCTGGAGAAAAGGATTTATATACCACTGCCAACAGGTGGGAATGCTGTACCCATTTCCATCTCAGTATACTCTCCTTGCACTTGTTTTTCCCTGGCAGAATGTTAAGAACTTATTGTTTTTGCCTAGGAGATTGTTAACTTCACTTAAAAACACTGCATTTTCCAGGGTTAAAAAAAGCATGATATTACAGAATGAAACAGTTTCCACATTTTTCTTTGCTAAACTAACGAGGGACATCTTGGATTTTATATTCAAATTGGGTTAATGGGCTTGGAATTATTCTGAATGTTTAACAGACAATCCATGAATAAGCACAGGAAAAGCAGCTCTAGGCATATTTAAAGAAATATTTCCAGTGCATTTCCAGGCTCCTGTTGATGAATGCTGAAAAGCAGATCCATGAATTTTCACTCTCCAGCTTACGTTGTAAATCAACTCTTGTTTGACCTTTATGAGTAGATTTTAAGCCCGATAGTTGCTTTCTAATTGTTCCCCTGCCTGAGTCTGCCTCATCATTGATTGCTTTACTTGACTGTCACTCATTTATTTTCTCAATTTCAAGATACTTTATCCAATTTGGTTTATATAGCTTTGACTTCTCTAGATGCACCTAGATGCCTTCTCTCACCATGAACCCCTGAGATAACAAAATACGACAGCAGCATGATACAGCTGTGATTGAGCTGGTTAGAAAGGAGGACCTTTATAGCCTTGCAAGTCATGTTAGGTAAAGGTAAAGGTTCCCCTTCACATTTAATCAAGTCATGTCCAACTCTAGGGGGTGGTGCTCATCCCCGTTTCCAAGCCATGGAGCCAGCATTTGTCTGTAGACAGTTTCTGAGCTTGCAGATTCTGAACAGATTAAATAATACATTTATAGATACCATATTGTTGCAAGGTGAGAAAGTGAGAAAATGAGAGGCAAATTGAAGATAGAAGTAACTGTTCTAATGGATTTCATTTTGTGTTTATATTATAAATGAGTTGAATCAACAACTGTTTTTTTTCTTGTTGCCTTGATGTAAAATGTATTTTAAGTTCCTTCACTTTCTGTTGGTTTCTAATTTGTCTGTGGAATACAGAATGTGCATGCTGTTGTAGCTTGGGCACACATTCAAAACCAGGAGTCACTTAGAGCAGGCCAGGAACAACCAAAAATGAAAAATGTCTCCTTGTGGGCAGACAAGAGATCTTTCAGTAAAGAAGAATGATTTGTGTGAGTGTGTGGGATGGTCCTCCAAAGTTCTGGGAAGGGCACGTGTGGCTCCTGGACTTCTGGAAGCTGCCCTTCCTGTGTTGAGATTTGTATGGACACCTCTTTCCCCTCCTCAACTTTGCATGAGGCTCATGAACACTGCTGGGAAGAGAAAAGAAGAAGCCCACACTTCTGTTGCTGCCTTGGGCAGTGTCAAAAGCTACCTGTAGTTGAACATATCCACAGAGTTGCTAGATGGACCAAAGTCCCTAGTCTAAGTTTCCAGAGAGTAATATTTCATAATTGCCAAAATCGTACAGAACACAAACGATGACAGACATATGGAATGTTGCTGTACAAGTACAGTATAACTTGCCGAAGGCACACTATAATGAGAGAGAGAAAGCTCACATACCTCCTTCTGTTCTTTTGTGTATCAGTGTCTGTAGACAACATAAGCATGGTTCATGTCCCACAGAGCTTGCATTCTCACATAAACAACAGGGTGGTGGAGTGGGGGGAACAGTGGCAGGGGAAAAAAGTATGTGGATAAGTGATCTCACATGATCTTAGAGCCTCATTGTGGCTGTGTGTCAAGATTGAAAGTGTGGCCGGATCCCCCCAAAAAAAGTGGGTTTGAGAAAATTGTGTCATTTGGATAGAATGCTTGCATATGTTTTCTAAGACAGGTTAGGGGAAGAGAGTAGTGACCTTAAATTTACAGGGAAAATGTTTTAATAATGACAACATTATTACCTCTCCTCTCCTTTATATATGTATCTGACTAAACATGATAGGGTTGGATCCAAACTGATGGTGTAACTAGATGAGCATTTGTCCTGTGGTTTGGTCTGGATTGAGGATGGACTGGTTAACTGTTTTTCCCGGTGCTCACGTAGTGTACACGACCATCACAAACTGATTAATGCCCAAGCACAGCTTTTTGGGTCCCTGTCATGGGCTACTATATTTTTTCTTTTTGGGTCCCTGTCAGGGGCTACTATATTTTTTGGCGCAGGTAGGATAGTTCAGCTTTGGTTCAGTTCCAGCATGTGTGATTGCTGAAAACAAACCAAAATGTGCAGTTTTAGCTGCCCCTTTGCTTAAGCTGCTTAATTATCCTGAGAAATGGAGAGCTCTCCTGCTCCCCAACAGAGGGTAAAGGAGAGGAAGTGTTCCATTTCTTTGTAATTGTTGCTAATGCATCAGTGATGTTTTTAAAGCCATTTCAGTGCAGCACTGAATAGCAACAATTTTTTAAAAAGTGGAAAACTTCCTCCCCCTTTCCTTGTGCAAGGAAGAGGGAAGGAAGCTTCGCATTTCTCAAGATCATTAAGTAGCTTAAGCAAAGCATGGAAGGGACAGGAGTGGATTTTTTTCCCTTATAGGGAAAGCATATTGGTCTAGATTGTGCTAAACAAGGTTGCTTGAGGTTCAATGTGGTTGATCCTTCCATGTGGAATTCAAGAACTGTCACCAGCAAAATTGTTTGCAATTTACTGATTATTCCTTCCCCATATAAAATCCAATTACAAAGTTAGATGTTGCAAAATAATCACATGCTTGTAAGCCCACTCCAATCAAATGCCTTCTTTTTTTCTTTTGCAGCAAAAGGCAGAGCAGAGCTGCTAAAGATTAATCTTCGAGAGGTAGAACTGGATCCTGACATCAGCCTGGAAGAAATTGCTGAAAAGATTGAAGGTTACTCTGGTGCTGATATCACTAATGTGTGCAGGTATTTTATTATCCCATATTTGCAAGCAAAAAGAAATGTTGAATTAATAGATGAATGGAGAGATGAACTGATAAAGCTTCTTTTTAAACTTATTGTGAGTCACACTGGATCCATCGTTATAGCTGAAGACACATTAGTGTTCCAGAGATGTAATTTAGGCAGACTTCTTTGGCTTAGAAATCAGACTTCAGAAGAGTCCCATAATTTGCTCTTGAAAGGTAGCCACAAAACCAATATTTGCAAATTATGTCGAGTGAGATACGCTACTGCTGTGAGAATCAGATCCTTTCAATAGTTAAGATATTTTGTCTCCTACTGATGGGTGTCCATCATTAGGCAGGTATAATTTGACCCTCATAATATTATAGAAGATCCTGGAAATCGTTTTAGAGCACTTTCTATCTTCACATAGGATGCTGACCAACCTTCTTGATCATTGTTCCTCAGAAACTGACACTGGGCCCTAAATATTTCTTTCTGGTGGCAGAGGTATGTTATCTATATAGAAGGACTTATTTGCCATTATTCATCTCCTCTGAGATAAGATTTCTGAGGAACCTCAGGGTCATCATAACCCAAACAGAAGTCTCCTTCTTTATATGAGCATGAATGAGAAATGAAACTAAAACTTGAGCAATAATCTTTTATCATCTTCAGATTGTATGTAATTAATTATTAAATACTGCTCTTAAATGGCAAATAATGGGTTGGGTCCAGACTTTGTTATACTGGCTGGAATTCTCTTGATTATTTATGAATAGACCCAGTGGCATGGATTGCAGATGTAAACTGCCAGTAGCTCACGAGGTGGTGCTTATTTTTTGTCGCATGCTAAGTCACACACCAGATGTATGATGAGGAAGACAAGTGACCCCATGCTATCAAGTGATAAATCACTTCTACAGTTTACATCATTGTACTTAGGCTGGCATAAATAACCAGTAAGATTCCGGCTATATACAGTAGATCCACTGAAATTAACAGGACTTAATATGTGTTTGCCAAACTAGGCTGCAGTTGATGAAAATTTACACTAAATAAAGCTTGTTAGTCTTTAATGTGCCACAAGACTATTGTTTCTTCTCCCACACTGCTTCCAGGTTAGTGGCAAACTAACTTGGCTGCTTCCTCTCAAAATTTTCACAGTAGTCTTAAGTTAGTCACAGGCCAAAGTCTTACGGGTTTCGTCTGCTTTTCATAACTAAGCAGAAAGGGAAAAAGCAACATTATAACAATGTTAGCAACTTTTCTCTTCAGTTTGACAATCTTCTTATTAAATCTTCTCAAGACTAAAAGTGTAGGCACGATCAAATAAACACTTTTGGTTACAACCAGCCTTATTTGACTTTGGTCCAGAAGCTTGTTTCTGCATTAGGCAATGAAGAGTTACATGTCAAAGTCTTAATAAGTTGCTGAAAGGGACATTTTGGGAGGATGTGTTCCTAATAGTGATGAATGCAGTACAAGAGCAGAACTAAGGAGCAGTAAACTGTAAGAGTCAAAATATTTTCCCATCTTCCCATCTGAATTTTGGAAATTCTACGGAAAAGTATATAGTCTTGACCTCTTCCGTAATTTATTTTGTTTGAACTAGACATATCTCCATTGGACAGGAACATTTTTATTAACATCTGTGTATCACTAACCTAAAGGCCTCACCTCTCTCGGTGATGCTCAGTGTACCACTGACAGACTACTCGGAACAGAATTTCTGAAGATGACCTGGGCAGCCAAAGTTTAGTTATGACATGTTTGAGAAGCAGTTCATGAGGTTACTAAGCAACCACAGTTAATTCCTTTTCTGGCAAAGCTGTCTTGGCTAAATTGTTCTTCTGCCTGTGCCAGCTGCTTCATTTTCTGCGGAATGAGAGTGTGTACTGGCAAGTTGTAATGGCACAACAACAGATACTACATGCCTGAAACTGGAGGAGAGTTAATCTGCAGTCCCAGTTTATAGGCAGACTTTCCACTTAGGTTTTCTTGTTCTGAAGAATGAGATCAGTAGGGATCTGCCTCTATTCTTCATCCTTTCTGGGTCTTTTTATAAAAACATGCCTGAAGTGGCTCTGGTTTGAAACAGTTGCACCAGATAATACAGTGTTTGGGGAAGAGCCAAGAACCCTGTTTTTTAACATTTTATCCAACCACATATACTGAATTGGGTTTTTTAAATGTGGTTGTGGCTTCTTTGCTCATTGTAGCAGCTGAGCAAGGTTTTATCTGATCACCTGAAAATCAGCTGTGGCATCTCCATGAACCATTGCGAGATAATTATTTTGTAGGTTTCATTAACTCTGCACATGTACAGACACCTTTGAGGATTTTATTGATCAAGTGTAATTGACATATTTATGTTGGAGATAAGTGGAGATGTGAAAACCAATCTCACAAAAGGAGCTATGTAAAGAGATGATGCTTTTACACAGTCCTCGTAAAAGCCTGCAACATACAGAGGTTATCGGAATCCCTTAGTTCCTCATATACAATGCTAGTCAACGGGGATATTGGGGAAAGTTAATTTCCTTCCCATTTTAAGGCAAATGGACCTAATTTGCATCTCCTAGACTAATGAGCAGCTTGCAGGGTGGGAATCCAGGCATGCACATTTTCAACTTTTGCAATATTGGGTGAAAATTTATGAGCAATTTCAGAAGAATTGCAATTTCAGTGTAGGTTGCTGTGATTTTTTAAAGGATCACAGATAACAGGAAAGAATTAGAACTGAGTGAATGAGAAACTGGCATAGACCACTCTATCCATTTTTGCAGTCATGATTTTTTGTATTTTTCCTTGGTTTTTAAAGGGATGCTTCTTTGATGGCAATGAGGCGGCGTATTAATGGCTTGTCACCCGAAGAGATCCGTGCGCTATCTAAAGAAGAGCTTCAGATGCCAGTTACCAAGGGAGACTTTGAGCTGGCTCTGAAGAAAATTTCGAAGTCTGTTTCAGCTGCAGATCTGGAGAAATATGAAAAGTGGATGTCAGAATATGGATCAGCTTGACCTCAAAGACATCTCTTCACAAGGGATTTTAGCTTTTCAGTTACAGAACAGATGGAGACATCTTTTATGGCTTGAATTTTTCCTATGGACAAGATTCCCTGCTAAACTTTTTTTTGGCACTTCAGAGGGAACAAAATAAAATGTGTCACAGTGAAATAATGGTATTTCATGAATAAATACTAAAAACAGTAAACATAGCAAATTTTTGTTGCCTGCACTTTAACAGTGAATGCCAGTATCTTGATTTTCACATACTAATTTTTTCATAACTTTTATTTGCCAGCCAGAAATAGGATTTTTCAGGAAAAGCTTAACTGTGTATATTTATCTTAGATCTGTGATATTCAGCCATGTTTTATGGCTAATTAGAAACACATCTCAACCTCACTGAATGTAGGACTGACATTTCTATTCTTTGCTTCTGCTTCTCTCACTTTTAGAGGGATGGTCAGTAGGATCCAAGGGAAAACTCTCAGGCTCCCTTTGCATTCCAGTTGTCATGACTACGCTGGTGTTTGCTGACATACTGATAATTATGTGTAGTGAAAAGGGAGGCACCTGTTCTTGAACATGCCAGGATGCTTGTGGCTCATCACAGGTTAACGGTATGGTCTTGTTCCAAAAATGAACATTTTCCTTTTCTCTGTTTACTGCAGTCAGGACCTCAGCTGCTGTATAAAGTGTGATGCAGACAGACAGTGTTGAGATCCTATTCCATTACATGATTGATGTATGGAATTTTGCCCTTGTTTTTCCTTTAGATTGTTGTAAATCCTTTCTCTTCTCCCTTGCACCACTGTAAGCAAGGTATCTTGAAAATGTCTTTTAAAGTCAGGCTAAGTTCACATATGCTCTGGAGGTTACAGTAGTTTAACTTACCAGTGCTGTGCTAAATTCAGCAGTGGTACAAAAGCTTCTTCCTGCTGTCTGTGGTTTTTTGGACAAGCTTGGAAAACCTTTGGCCCTCCACATGTTTTGGATTTTAACTCTCAAAAGTCTCGGCCAATATAGCTATTGGTAGGTAATTCTGAGAGTTATAATCATGTGGAGAGAGGCAAAGGTTCCCCGCTTTTGTTTTAGACTGATCATTTTCTAATTTGTTTCATAAATGGTAGTTGCACTTTTGTTGCAGTGTTGGAGAAAGAAGTGAAACCCAAACCTAGAAGTACAGAGCTATCAATCCTTGAGATTCAGGAATATTTTCTTGCTCCTACCCTTTTATCTTTCTGGTGTTTTCTAGCTGTTTTACTTATTTTTACATATTTTAGCATTTTCGTCCAGTAAGATAAACTGATACTAATTTATGGAGAACCTTTGCTATAGCCACCATATGCAAAAAGTGTTGCAAAACAACAAAATTGTTCTGTGTTCCCTTTCAGACAGAAGTATAACTCACTTTTTGAGGTGATACTGTTCATGTACACATGTGGAACTGGTTATCAAAGTCATTTATTTATTTATTTATTTCAGGGAAGGATATGATTATAGGAGTCCTGACATGTTCTAGAAAAGTTGTGAGAATTTCATTGCAGAAAAGATTTTGGCTTGGGAAAAGTTACATCAGTTTCTCATTCCAAGACAAGGTTTCTACTTGAAAAGGGGATCAAATACTGCATGGGTCAGTTGCTAAATAAATCATACCTCAATTTTTTTGTCAGGGAACTGTATAAATTATTCATTGACATGCTTATACCACACTGTCTTTTGAGGGTTAAGCACTTAAAATATGTCAAGTTTTAAATATTAAGCATGCTGATTTTAGACCTCTTGACATGGAACACCATGTGGAGGTTGTACAGATTGATTTAGAAATCCCTTCTGTAGACTAAGGACAAGCATGATCTGAGTAGATATTGTAGTTCAAAAAAAGTGAATGTGAAAATTCCAGATTATCTGGAATAATCCTTGGTTACATTTCCCCCATTGCTAACCCAGCTAGTGGGGAAATTTCCTTTTACATATAGCCTTAGTTTAATTTCAATCAAGATTGTTAAGTTACTGGCACAAGTCAGCATTTGATTTTCAAGGGCTTCATTTATAATTATCTTTCATTGTGATAACCAGCTCCTCAGCATAGCACTTGCTGGGCATGTCCAGATCTGCAGATTTGACTGCATTTGGCAGAGTAGTGAGAGATTGGTGCTTCTCCATGGCCATGTCCTACTATCTGTGGCTAGTTACGTCCATTGTGTTTGCAACACTTTTGTCTTTGGATTGTTTACTTATTTGTTTGATTGCTCTTTTCATGTAGAAGGAGACATATTGTGTCAATACTGTGAATGGTTTGCTATGTTTATTTCCAACAAAAAGCACTTTTTCTTTGAATAGAAGGAATCACAATAAATGTCCTAATAATGACTTGCTTCTCTGTGGTGTGTTTTGTTTTGTTTTGTTCTGCTTGCATATCTTGAGAATCGTTGTTGTCCTGCTGTGGCTGAGTTGACTGTGGTGCCCTGAACACAAGACCAGCACAGCACCTCTATTGAGCTTTTCACTTTTGACAGCATGATGTCTCCTAGTTCCTCGCTTCTTGGTGTGTGGGATTAGTATGGGCCCAAGTACTACAATTTCTCAAAATGAGGACTCCCACAGGGAAGATAAAGTGTCTAAGAACCCACGTTTGTTTTTTATCTCGTGATTCATGACAATAGCATTTTCTGTACTTTAAAAACAGCAACATTTGGAAGTAGAAACACCAAATATTATTAATTTTACTGATTTTTCTGATCTAAATATTATGGTGGGCATCACCAACAACTATCAGGTTTAATTTGATGTGTATTAATCAGTAAACAGTCCTCCCAATATAAACTACATCATAAATCTTTTCTATTTTATAGGCCTTTCTATTTGGCAATAACTTCCCCAGTTTCACTGTTTTTCTTCATGGTATCTGTGAATGCACACGAATGGATTAAACTGTGCCTACACAGGACTGTTTGGAATATTCTAGAGCTAATTAACTGACCAATAAAACAGTTACCCATGTCGTGCATGCTCCGCCTGCCCATGGTACCTCAGTTCCTTTTTGCCGCTGCTGCAGTTGGACTTTTTTGTCGCTTAGAGCTATTGATTCTTTGAAATTCTTTAGTTTTTTATCCCGGACTGTTTACTGATTACGCGGTTTTCTCTCCTCTGGCTATTTTGATTCGGACTGAACTTGTTTTGATTATTGCTTTTTGAATTGGCTATTGTTACTATCTGGGTTGGACCTTGGACTGCTTCCAGTTTCTGATTTGGATTACGAATTGGACTTAGATCGAATCTTATCTATTGGCTTGATTTCTTGGTTTTGATCTGGACTGCTATTGTTAATATTTCCTGTGAGTTGGACCCCCTTTCCTTATTATCTTCCCTGTTCCCCCCCCTCCAAATTTTATGGCCTCTTCAGGCTCTTTCAAACACTGTGTGTCGTGTGCTGGCAAAATCCCCTTTATGGATGGCCATGACTGCTGTTTGTTCTGTTTAGAAGAAAGGCATCAACCGAATTCTTGTTCAGAGTGCAAGAAATTAACCAAGCCCGCTCTCAAACTCCGCTTACAGCAACTCTGATCTTACCTCTGGGAGAAATCACTAACACTATTGGGCTTGACAGCCATGAAATCTGCTGTGCCTTTGGCTCCTCCCACTCCTTGTCCCGATCCCGCTGCCTCACCAGCACCTGCCACCCCGTCCTCCAGGGCTTCTTCCAAGTTGTCCAAATCAAAGAAGTCTTTGACATTGGGGTTGGTGTCAACATCGAAGGCACCACCAGCTAAGGATCCCAGGAAGAAGGAGGAGGTTGTTAAGCACAAGAAGACTAAACACTCCTAAGTCAGTACAACTTAAGGAACCTCTGGCTTGAGGCACCCCAGCTTCGCCCATTCTTGAGAAGTCTTCCAAGGAGATATGCAATCCCGAATTGCTCTCAGAAGGTGATGGCTTTGTACCATAGCCACAACCACAGACTTCAATGTCAATCCCGAGCCTGTCTCCGAGTCATGGCCATTCTGAGGCTAATGTGTTTTCCAGCCCAGCCTCGGCCCATTTAAGCCCTATATCAATCGGACGGGCAACGGTGATCCAGTTGTCAAACTCTGAGGCTTCACCGCAAGAATCCCCTCCGCGTAAGCAGCTTGCGAAGTGTCAGCATAGATCTCCAAGTCAACAACTCCCTCAACATCGGGAGGTGATAGTGCTTCCACATCAGTCTCAGTGTCATGCTTTTGCTGAGTGTCAGGAACCGCTTTACGTGGAAGTCGATTGGCATGGTGCTCAATGTCGATACCATGGGGACAATATCGATCCCTCGTATGACACCAGTGAGTATATCAAACCTAAGAGGGTATGATACATTTTTGCCTCACCATTGGAGTCATCTCCATCACTTTCGCCACCTTGACTTTGGCATCAAGCCTACTTCCAGCTCGACCCTACAACTTCGAGGTCTACTACTAAGCATTGCTTTCCACAGCAGGACCAGCATTCGCTCCACTCTGAGAAGTGTTCTCGGGATCCATCAGTACCATCACCCTCAGTATTGCACCCAAAGTCTTCACATTCTCAGTCATCACGACAGACAGTGCCCCCAAAAGCCACCTTTGTACCTGAAGCGGGAGGGAGGGACATAAACTGGATGTCTTCGGCCGTCGCATGTACTCTCTGGCTACATTTATGATGAGAGTCTCTAATTACTGTATTTTTCGCTCCATAAGACACACCTTTCCATAAGACGCACCATTTTTTAGGAGAAGAAACCTCTAATTACTGTTTTCTTCGCTCCATAAGACGCGCAAACTTTCCACCCCCCTGTTTTGTGGGGAAAAAGTGTGTCTTATGGTGCGAAATATACGGTACCAGGCAGCAATGGGCACTATCAGAGGCAATTGTGGAATAAAATTCTACCAATTCTCCCAGCTGCCCCTGATGAAACTAGAGCAGCTGCCCTCAATACTCATCTGGAAGCGACAGCACTAGCTATGCAACATCGACCATTGCTCTTAGGAGACACGCTAGGCTATGTTCAGCAGGCATCAAGGATGATGCCAGGTCATGGATAGTGATACTATATCCTGGTATCTCCACAATGCAGTGCTGAAGCTAGTATCAAAGCAAAACTAAAAAGCTCTTGCTTAGTGAGTCCACTCCCACCCACCCCCGCTGGCCACTCCTGGGCCGCGGTGTGTTTCAGTTCTGATGTGCTCCACTGCAGAATCTGCTCGTGTGGAATAAGTACTGTACTGTTCCATATTGATATGCACACTTTGTAGGTGGGTGTCATTTGATGACCTTTCTTTATGGATGTTTTTCTGATGGTCAAGCTCTACTCGTCCACACCCCTTGGATAGGAGGAGAAGAGGGAAAGTGTAGAGAGGGGTGGAAAAGATAAGCAAAATGAGAGGGTGTTGGTGTTGGAAGTGAGGAGAAGCAACTGCAAAAACATTACGTAGCACAAAGAATGACCCCCCCAATCCCATCGGTATCACTGCTCCAATAAAAATTGGAGCTGTCCCCATCCCTCTCCGCTGTTAAAAAAAAAGGAGGTGTGACCACGGAGTTCCTGCTTTGTGTCCTGTCCCAGCCCACAAGGAAGCATGAATCATAAGTTATAACTAGATGAAATCACAAGTGGTTCCAATTTCCAGCTTATGCAAAGGACTAAGCCAAAGTGGTGTTCTATGCTATTCTTGCTTGTCTAAAATCACAGTTCTGCATTTTCTCTTCCCGGATGTTCTGCTGAACTAGTGGCCCTATGGGGATCTCACTGGAGAAATGCTGGTATATTCTGTGCCACATTTTCTGTTGGAGAAGGGAATGTGATCTGAACACAAGGGAGATCATCATAATGAAGAAGAAAGGACTGTACACCGAATGGGCTGGATGTAATAGAAACCATAGCAACGCTAAGAAAGGTTTATAAATATAACACATAAAAGCTACGTGAATTGCACAAAGGAGTTCCAGGCAATATTGCAGGATGCAGGCTGGGGGAAATGATGCAATAATGTACACAGGGGTGCTGGCTAGGGGACTGTGATTCTACAGAGTGGCGCCTTTGGCTTGAATAGTAAAAGGGAAAATGTACTTAGCTGCTGTTTGTAAGGATCATTACTAATTACTATTTGCTAGTTTCCAGTGCAGGACAACGAGGGATACTGAAAATACTCATTGATTAAGAAAACTGTCTTAGACCAGGCCAGAAAAGTGATGGGAACTTTCCCTTTTTCAACTATAACTCCCAGAATAAGGACACTGGCTTATTCTGAGAGCTGTAATTGAAAAAAAGGGCCCTTTCCCATTTTTGGGCCAGACTAATTTTTATTTTAGCTCAGTATTTTTTGCTCCAGGGAAAGGGGAACTTTGGCCCTCCAGACTTTTTGGCCTCCCAGCAGTTCTACCCAGCTTGGCCATTGGGAACGGTTGATGGGAACTGTAGTCCAAAACACATCTAGAGGGCCTATATTTCCCCTACTCTGTGACAATAACTATGACATGTCTGATGCACGAGTCTTGCCCATATTCTACTTTCTGATCTTTCCACACAAAAATCTGTGTAATGTACAGAATTGGGTGTAGGAAAGTTTGGTTGTTGTTACTATTACTAAATGAGGAATCCTTCTCAGAGGTTAAGAGTTTGATTCCCCACTATGCCTCCTTGACAGGGTCTTGACTTGATGACCCATTGGGTCCCTTCCAGCTCTGCAGTTCGGAAATGGCTTTTATTAAGCCATCCAGAGATCTATCCGTATCTCCCAGTTTTCCTACTTCTGATGTACTTTTATTAGTGCACACTTTTCCAGGAGGATGACCATCTCAGTCTATTGCAACAACAACAACAAAAAGACAGAGCCTTGTGAACCCTTAAAGGTTATTAGTGATGGTACTGGAGGAAGAGCTACATCTGAAGCTCAGTCGTGGGCAGTACAAGTGGCTTTATTTATTTATTTTATTTATATCCCACCTATCTGGTCGGGTCAGGACCACTCTAGATGGCTAACAACATGATACAATAGAATTAATATATAAAACAATTATTAAATGGTAAGACATTACACAAGGTGGGAGGAACAATAAGAGAGGAAAAGGGGCGTCAGGGATTATCTGATGGGAAGGCGTGCTGAAACAGCCATGTTTTTAATTGATTCTTAAAGATACCCAACGAGGGGGCCATGCGAATCTCAGGAGATAAGTTGTTCCAGAGGCGAGGATCCACCGCTGAGAAGGCCCGATTTCTTGTCTTCTCCTTCCGGGCCTCCCTCGGCATTAGGCTCCTCAGCCTCACCTCCTGGCTCGCATGAGTGACACGGGTAGATCTTGGTGGGAGTAGGCGTTCCGCCAAGTATCGAGGCCCTAAACCGTTTAGGGCTTTGTACGTGAGC